AAAAAAAGAAATATTTTCTCTGCTGCGTATTTTTCTTTTTCTTTTTTTTCTCTTTTCGACAGAAATTTCGCATCGAATATAAGAGTTTGTCTAACGGGAATAGAGAAAAAAGAACTAACTAGGAAAGGGAAAAAAAAGAAGAACAAAGAGAGAGAGAGAAGAGAGAGAGAGAGAGAGAGAGAGTGTAAGAAAGTCTTTAGATTTTATCAGAGGGATCAGCAACGACGTCGAATTATTTATAGTTCGCACAGAGCAACGAGAATTATGCGTCGACGCGTGCCACGGATATTTTTACTGCAATTATTAATAAATTAACGGGATCTTAAGGATCCACGACGTTATGTTTAGTTCGTCTTACGTTGAGAAACCCTTTGTCTTTCTTTTCCTCGTAGCTTACGACATAAACTTCTTCGTAAATTATTATACCAACGAGCACACACGTTCATTACGTGTTCACGTGACATTTCATGACGTTTTATTGAAATTTTTTACTCTAGCTAAATCAATACAGAGATACAATTTTGTTAAATCTAATATAACGTATTAAAAATGATATTAATAAATAATATGATTAAAAATAATGGAAGAAACGTTTCTTATCTTGAATATCAAACAATTTCCAAATGAATTTTTGCCTATGTTATTTCGTAAAATCGTCACGTTGTCATATATTTCTTTTGTGTGTATGTCTTCCTCTCCCATTTTTCTTCATTTTCATCATCGGACGCGAGTATATAATACTCGAGAATGGCCGCAATAAAGTGTCTAGCGCAGCTCCGCGTGTGTTTACACGTAGAGATGAAGGGAGGAAACGTCATCCGACGTGAGTAGGCTTCGGGATCGATCTGCTGACATTTCTGGGTTACGTAATATTGCACTCCGCTTTACCTGCGAACTCTAAATGTGTCTTCTTACACAGTGAAAGATAGAAGAGGGGGACGGGAGGGGATGGGGGTAGAAAAAGACCGATACGAATGGAAACAGCCGAACTGATGAAGAAACGAAAAATACGGATTGTGTATTTCTGCTTCTGTTATATACTGTGTCGTTGCTGTTGCTTCTGCAGCTGTTGATAATGATGATGACAATGAAGAAAGACGATGATGATAATAATAATGATGATGATGATAATGATAATTTTGGATGGTGGTGAGAAACGTTGCTGAAATATGCACGCGTATACACGTTCTGTTCTCGAACTCCATTTTGTTGCAGCATGTACTTGAGGTCATTCTAAAGTGATGGGAATTATCTATGGTTATATTCTGAGCGAATATACCGCTTTATTTATACTGCGTTATGTATTTATCAACGTACAATTGTACGAAACTAGAGAGAGTGGGAAAGAAAGAGAGAGAGAGAGAGAGAAAGTGAAGAGAATATGAGACGATTTAGAAGCCCATCCACTCATCTCCGTTCCTATTTAATAGTCCAACCCCAGACTCACCATTTCCCTAATAAATTACTCGAATTTGCGCTTATGCGTTAAATGAAAGTCCGGAAAAGCTGCGTCCTATTGTCATAACCATGATGGCATTTCTTCATTTTAACTAACTTACCCATTATATCCACGTATGCATTTCAACGTAATCCTACTATCGTATAACTTGTACACTAATTACACTTTCGAAGTAGTTAGTTTTGTTTGTTTTTGAAGTTATCTAATTAATATTTAATCTGTTTTCGCGTCATTTATATTTCCTATACCTATCTCATAAATAATATACATATATTATATATTCGTAATTATAATATTTGTATTGGTAATAAATATTTTTTATAAATATGATAATAAAATCTTCGGGTGGTAGGGGAGGGACGAGCGGAGAGTATTTGTCGCTATTACAAATTGTCTCGTTATTTATTTAATTTCTTTTTTTATTTTTGGTTGAATGACTTTACGCTCAAACTTTTCCACTAATTTATCACAAAATCCTCGATAACGAACACCGTGTTTGCGTTCGGTAAATATTCGAATGTAACAATGAAAAGTTATATAGGTATACACATAGGAAGTCAATTGGGGTCCACGTTTTCGCTTGCACGAAAACTAACTCTATCTCCCTCTCTCTCTCTCTTTACCACGAGTTATTTTCGTGACCAACGAAAAGTTGTAAAACGTTTTCCACAAGCGAGCTTTACATTTCTATCTTTCTACCTTTTAATGTACCGAACGTCACGCGTTATGATTTACACCGGAGTCAAACACACCGAAATATATTCAATTGGTCGAAGGTTCGGTTGAAACATGAAAAATGTCGAAATATCAACGCGGAAATTCGCATAACAACAAATACGCGAGAGTTCGCTACGAAGAAAGTATGGAAGAAACAAATTTATGGCAATTTTATTACTAATGCATAATCACCCGTTACGACTCGCGTATCGTGAAAAAAAAGAATATTTATATATAGGAAACGAAGAAAAGAGAATTTCTCTTTCTTCTGTTGTTAATAAATTAAAAATTTGGAAAACGTTTACCATCGATTTTCATTGCGCGTCAGAGTCAAATTTGTATGAAAACGATTTTATTGTGTCGTCGAGAAATCTTCGTGAAAAAAAGACAAAAAATAAAGAATAATATTTAACGGAGAAAACAAAAAAGGGAAAAGGAATATTTTTTTCTCATTATCTTCGTTAAAAAATAAAAAAGACGAAATAAAAAAAAAAGCAATAAACCGTAATATACACGTACGTCGTTAATTCTCAAGTGGTGCATCTAAAGATTCATCTGGAAAATAAACTTTCAAAGATTTCTCTATTATCTACAGCAATTATTTATATTCGGAATTCTCAACATCAATTTCGGGTTTTACCTATAGCTTATGTGCTATTCGCAAGAGTAAACATTAGGCTATTTTCGTGAAGACATGCCATGTGAACGAGAGAGAATGAGAGAGACGAGAGAGGTGAAGGAAGGATTAGTAAAAGTATATTGCACCGATGACCCATCGGTATTCTATATTTGTACATTTACTATACTAACACATACATACGAAATATAACGAACGGATAAATTACTGCAAACGATCAATTTATCTTTTTATTTAAACAATTTCAAATATCTCTCTCTCCCTCATTCTCATTCTCTATAAAATATCACGTATGATTGTACATTCGCCATGTGTCCATAAATTTGTTTTATATTACATTCATTATATTTTATTTTTAAATTAATAATTAATTAACATTTGTCAAAATATATGAATTCCGTAGGTGCATGAAAAAATCCGTTACGCGACATTTCGAGTTCATTACATTTATTTAGCTCATTTTTTCTTTACCGTTATTTGAACAATTTTAAAATATATTTCTAGAAATTTTGTTCTCAACACGTGTTCGTATAATTTAATTTTCGTCTTAAAAGTAGAAACGTGTATAAATATAATTACACGAAAACCTTACAAAATATCGAGAGTAAGTTGGTGTTGTCACATTTATCAGATTTTTGCATACGCGTAGTACAAAATGTTACCTATAAAGTAGATGATTGTATTAGGAGTAAAAAAATAAAATGGTATAAAAAAAAAAAAAAAAAAAGAAAAAAGAAAGAAAGAAGGAAAAAAGGAAAAAGCACAAATGGAGGAAAAAAAAAATTACTCTTGTTCGATATTTAAGCACTATCTCAAGGAAGAAACTTTTTTCACGTTATCGTCGTCGTGAAAATTTATCTCCCTTTCCAAAGTAAAGGGAAGACGTTTTGAGGGCAGCTGCGAATCTTTTTCCTTGAGATCGCTCTACATCGTACCTTTTTTAATGCAACGCATTTTTCTTCGAGCTACTCTACTAGCAACATTTTCCTCTTTCATTCTCATATTCTCCTCTCTCTCTCTCTCTCTCTCTCTTTCTTTCTTGTCTAGCAAGCAGTTTGCTACACCAGCAATTCCGTTGGGTTACCCTTACCGAGGCATACGAAAGTTCAGTTAGAACAGAAGGAAGATGAAAATGAGGAAGAGGAACAGGATGAGAAGGAGGAGGAGGAGGGTTGGAAAATTTGCGACGAAGTAAAAGAGAAAGAAGAGCAGATTTAGTACTGCGCTTATGACATAAAGTAATTTTTCCACTTCGAAGGAAAAGAAAGGAACCATACAGTATCGAAAAAGATAGAGAGAGAGAGAGAACAAAAAGAAGGTTAATTTAAAAAGATAATAAAAAGATAGAAATTCGCATTTTTCGAATAGTGATAACTGGCTCGTAAACGAACATATTATACGCTCCTCTTTTCATCGTATCTACTCAATTAATCTATACTAAATGGAATTTTTTATCCATAGGTATTACCTTCATAAAGTATGAATCATTGTATTGAATCACTCTTACGTAATAACATTTTTTTCATTCCTTTATTTTTGCTTATAACTTTCGAATATATTTCCTACTCTTTAAGCACTTTATTTAATTAATAAAATAATTCGACAAAAAAATCAAACAGTTATATTTAAAAAGAAAAAATAAAGCAGAAGATTATAATAATAATAATAATAATAATAATACTGTTAAAACTTTACATAGAAATAAGTAAATTTGCTTTTTGAAGTTGTTAAATTTCTATATAAGATTTAGAAAGGTTTCCACGAAGAAAGTTGAGTAAGCTACTTAAAGATAATATCAAAAGAGCTACCACGGAAATCTCTTCCTAAACGAGCTCCGATACCAAGCGTAATAACTTAATCGAGGTTCTACGTTGGACCGTCAAATATTACTGACGAATATCGACGGGCTATTGAACAGGATTTCCGTTCTAGCTATACACACACACACACATACACACACATGGATACACCTCTCCTCTCGACTCTTCTTCGATCATGAATTTCTAGACGATATGAGGAAGAGCATCACTGATATTACACGAATTCAAATTTTCGTATTGATTATCTCTGACACGTATCATTATTCGTTCTGATAAGTGATAACGATTAAATCAAATAAAAAATAATCATGATGATGATAATAATAATAATAATAATAATGATATGTCAAGCATGTCAACGATTTACCTGAAAATATCTAAATTGTCTCATCTTGTCCCATCTTGTCCCATCGACCACGACAGAGATGAGTACCATCGAATATTCCAACTTTCTTTTATGATTTAATAACCCGTGAAAGGATCAGAAGATGCATGCGATGCATATCGATAAGCAAGGATCTTGTTATCTTGAAGAAAACTTTTACTGAATACACACTGTGCTTCTCCTTTATGTCCCACTGTGTTAGTCCTTAGAGTCAACAGCTTTCTCTCTGAAACGTAAACACGAACGTGTTAGATGTTAGAAAAGCTTTACTTACGATCTCATTGTACGTGAGTCGCTACGTTTACGTGACAAGATACGACAATGCATAAAAGTATTAGTGAAAAACGTTGTGAAAAGTTTCGATGAAAGATTTTAAACAATTTATCTTATCTTATCTTTTTCATTTTTCTTACCTTTTCTTTTCTTTTTTATTATTATTATTATTATTATTATTATTACGCGAATGGAAGTATATGCAAAAATAGAAAAAGTAATATTCAACGTGTTAAACTTGAAATCTGTTAGGTAAATAAATCAAATCAAATCGAATAGAAAGAAAAATGTAGAAATAAAGAAGAAAAAATAAAAGAAAACTAGTTAGAAATTCTCTAACGGATTCGCAAAACTCTCACAATCAGTAGATTTACAAAAAGAGTGATCGATACGCATGAACTCTCTCATGCTTTCGACAGTTAAGAGAGAAACCGATATTCGCGTTTAATTCTCTCTCTCTCTTTGAACGTGTTCCACTCGAAGCGCATGAATTTCAACCATTCGTTCGTAGCCTGAAAGAGGTCACAGAAATTTCGTTCACGGAAATCTACGGAAAGCAGCTGATTCGAAGAGCAACGATCGGTATATGATAAAACGAGTCTTTACCACGCCAATAAAAAGACTCTTTCTTCGTTTAAACTTCATAATTTTCTTTTTTCTCTCTCTTCAATTCCTTTTTTAAACTATATTTTCTCAACTTATGTTAGTTAGTTTTAAGCTAAAGAATAAATAATGAACGAGTTTAATACACGAATACCTAGAAAACGAAAGTAAATTAAATTGTAGAAAATTTGATAAATTTTATAATACACTTTGAAAACATAAAATAAATTCATTGTGGTTTAAAAAGATTGATTTTATATTAAAAAAATGTGATATATGATTAATATATGATGTATAGTCTTACAAAAGATATAATTTATAATACCAGATGATCTATATATAGTTATTAATTAACTTTATTACATTTATAATTAAATTCAAATTACCTGAGATATAAAATGTACGTCTTAACAAGGTGTTTACGTATAACCTTCTTCGACAACGACTTCTACTAGACTAACGTTTCAATAGGTATGTTTATACATATATATTAAAACTCGTCTTTGAAAGAGGTCAAGTCGAATAGGAACCCAACGAAAATTAAAAAAACGGCTTCTATGATGTAAACAATATTATTTCCGACTAACGATTTCCTCGTTCGTTTAAAAGAATGCGAATTTTTAAAGTTCGTTTTATTACTTAACAAATTAAAAAATTCAAGCATTAAATAGAGATATTATTCATGTCAAAAAAAAATAAAGAACGCGAAGCATGCGCGTGTCTGACAAACTTCTATAGTAGTTCATTAGGATAATTTATTAGAGGAATATTAAATGAAGAGAAAACAAATTTTGTTTATAGTACTTTTTGAAATCACCAACCGTTCCCTCTCAGCCCAGCCCTTTCTCATTTAATCGTAAGGGGTTGTAACCAGACATCGTTAAAATCAAACCTAACATCGATTAATAGTATTCGCCGTATTGCATCGTAAACGTTAACGACATAATGAATTGTAATTGCTATTGCAACCTTCCAAGGGATTGTTAGCAGCTTTCAAACAAGCGTTCGTGGTATAACCACATTAGACATATTGAGATTGATTTAACTATTCAAACTTTTAAAATAGAATATTAGTGTGATCTGAACGAATCATATGATGATTTGTTTAGTTTAAATCTAACGTAGAATTTGTTATTGATAAATATATTGTGGTGAAATTAATTAGTATACCATTATAATTATATTAGTAATACTTAAAATGGGTTAATCAATTTCCGAAAGCTCTTCCCGAGACCTGACATAGATTACAAAAATATGAATTTTGGTTTGTTACAGGAAATGGAGAAAAAGGCGTGATCGGTATTTACCGTGAAAGAGAAGGGAGGTGAGAAAGAGAAAGAGAGAGAGAGAGAGAGAGAGAGATAGAGGAGAGAAATGAACACAAACGGTAACGTCGGATCTCAGGAGGGCGGCAATGGGAACGATTATGGTGGTAGTAACGAAGAAACAACCGCCCTTCTGAGTAGGGCACCACCTCCGCCGGTGGTGGTTGCCGCGGCGTCTCAGGGCAAGCCGGTGCTAACGCGACAGAATAGGGCAACTTTTTTGGTTGCCTCGCCGCAACTGTCAGTGTCTGGACTTGGCGGCTCCGAGGAGAGCGGCACCACCGAAGATCCGGCTACAAGATCGGTACCCGATATCGAATTGCATTGTCGATTAGACGGTGAATTTCAGCAACAGCAACAACAGCAGCAACAGCAACAGCAGCAACAGCAGCAACAGCAACAACAACAACAGCTACAACAACAGCAACAATTACAACAAATCGTACCACCTACCATCTATCGATCAAGACAAGTGTCTCATCAGTATAGTCGTTGCAGATGCGATCGAAGGGATTCTCTTGCTCCTTCCTCGGCCCTTCACCTGGCTCGCAGTGTTTCGAGGTGAGTTTATAGATTCGTTTTTATTTCGATATTTATTTTATTTACTATGATAGATCAATATTATAAGAGATAAATGTTCGCGTTATTATATAAATCATTTGTTGTGTTATATTTAATAATTAATAATATTATATTTTATAATATGAGAGTTCAATATGGGCCAGCGATCAAAATGTTTTTATTGGAAAATTTATTTTCCAATAACAAATGACGAAGAAATATAATTTTATTCGATATTAGTTATCGATCAAAGTAACATCATCGTAAAGATGCACTTATCGTTAACTACTTTTTTATATTATATATATTATAATACATTATAGTGAGTGATAGGTTTAAAGAAAAAAATCAACTACTTATAGACACTACATATGTATTATATAGACTATTTCTTAGATTTGCATTTAGTACAGTGTTATCTAGGGTGAAAGGCGTAAAGTGGAGCAGAAGGGTAAATAAATTCGTTGGAGGAAGTTCTCTATTTTCGACGAAGATAGACACGTTCGCTGTCTACGATCTAAAGTAAAGTACAAAACCTATAGAAAGGAATCGATCTACTCAAGAATTTACGTCACGTGCAAGCTTTTTAATGGTATAGTTTCTCTTTCCTTCCACTAATAAAAATTAACATGAATGAAAGAAAAAATACAAAAATACAAAAATATAAAAAGAAATTAATGGAGATAGAGAGAGATATTTGACGTAATTATTAAACAGAACTATTTTGTACATTACAATCGAAGTATTTCGATTTAAACTCGATTATAGACAGTTACTCTGTAAATCGATGCTTTGGATATTTCAAGTGGAAAACGTTAAATTAGTACTAAACGTTGCTTCACGTCTCGACGGTTTCTCCAATTCGCTCTTTCTCTTTGTTCCTAGTAAATTTCTATGTATATATAGTCAAAGTCACGTCTCTCATTTTCTTGATTATCTTGATTACAAGAATATAGTTAATTACCCGAGAGCATAGCTCATCGAAACGTATAAATTACTGCATTTACGTATCTATAATATATATTCCTATATTCATAGTTCTATTATAATAGGGTTAGAATTAATTGTCGAGGGACTTGACAATATAATATTCGATATCAATCGATAATTGAACTCTAGGAATATTTTGATATTTCGTATGATATTATTATTTGTTATTAATTAATTAATAACAAAATAAAATAAAAAGAAAAAGAAAAGTAAATATTCCCATTGAAAAAAATGTATCGATCGCGTTCTCGTTATCGGTTAAATGCAATCTTGAAAATTGAATTTATCGTAGCGAAGAAAAATTTCAATAACTTTTAAAAATACTTCAGTGTTCCAATTATATTTCTCCTCTCTTAAAACTTCGACCTGTCGTAGTTAGAAAATTGTTAGACAAGTCGAGTAAATTATTTCGATTTTAAATACGAAGTACGACGTAGAAGACATTTTGATGAAGGAATATGATAGGAAAATTATCATTTATCGTTTGTATTCTTCTTCTTCTTTTTCTTTCTTGTTACCGTAACGTTTGAAATTAATTCGCCAATAAATATCATTACATTGAATAGAAACATTAAATTTAGTAAAAGAAAAAAAAAAATAAGAAATAAAGTGATTAGCCAGACGAATCACGAAAAAGGTTAATTAATTTTGAATATAACGAATAAACTTTTGACCGAGAAAAAAACTTTTAACTCACCCTGTACTTTGCTTCGGGATTTTAAATAACAAATATTTTCTGATTGTACTACGCGAGATAAAAACTGTTTGCTGTTTCCCCACAAAGTAATTTTAAAATGATTCATTTATTAGAAACGAGCAATTAAAAATAAAAAACCAAAAAATGTCGCAAATCTTCAAATACGTTCAAATCGTAAAGGTATATAAAGTCAAAGAAGGAATAAAAAGAAAGAGAAACAAAATAGATACAAAGAGAAAAAGAATGAAAATTCTAGCAATCGTCCAAATGGAAATAAAATTCACCGTGCGCGTTTCGGTTGATCATCCTCGGATGGCTAGAAAATAAATACGAAGAGATCTTGAAATAAGATAAAGAGGGGGGAAAAAAAGAAAAAAAAAAGAAAAAATAAAGGAGTAAAGTATTCGGAGGAATAATTTGATCGAGAGGATTCGCTTGAACGAAATCAAACATGACAAATTGCATGGGAATAAGTCTTATAGATTTGTATGGATGATAGTTCGACTCATCGACTCGAATGATGATCCTAAAAGGAAAATGGTCCCGAATGAATTTCCTCCCTTTCGATCGCAACGATATTGTCTCGTTCGTTGATGGTTAAAGAGGTCAAAGGTCGTCTCGCATAGGGATAGCATGTAATACTTATGTACATGGTAGGTCCATTTCGTGGTGACGTTTCCCAAGAGAATATAAGGGGGGAACATAACGCCAGGATTTCGTGTCTTCAACGTTCCGACGTTTCTACGATGTCGTTTGGTACGGAAGATTGACTTGAACTTTCGAGCTTCTCTCTCTCACACTCTCCCTTTCTGTCATTCCTGTTCTATGTTTAGAACCTATGCTCTCGAACAGCTTGACGAGCTTCAAGCTAGATTACGAGACACAAAACTCAGACAATGACGATCTTACCTTTCGGTCATTTTACATTTTCACGATAATAAATGTCTCTGTGTGAGACAAATGTAACGAAATTAAATAAATAAGATTCTATGAATTTCTATCTACTTGCTCATATATATGTAAAAATCGTGTGTTATTCAATTACGAATGAAATGATTATTTTGTATTAATATTAAACCTACCACGAGGGGTTAAATGAGCTTTTTTTTTTTAACTTTCTGGTTACAATAGCGTTATTTTGTCAGTCGAGTGCATAAATAGTATATTTTTGTGTTATATGTATGTATTGTACATCGGTAAAATATATGTCATTTGATTCGTGTGGTAAAAATAATTATACATGAAGGAAGCATCGATACGTTTAGGGTTAAACATTTTAATTTTAATAAATATTAATTTTTTAGTTTGATTTCAAAAATATGTTCGAGTAAAAATAATACGAGAAATATTTTACTTTCACATTAATCTAGACGTATCTAATTTAATACGAAAGAGAGAGAGATAAGAAGAGAAAAACGAACTTAACGGGAATTCTAGCCACGTTCCTTTAACTTTTTCTTCAAGCGAATATAAGAATTTCATGGGAGGGGTAAAGAAGAGAGAGTGAGAGGAAGGTGGGTGGTTAAAAACAAAAAAGAAATATAAGAAAAAAGAAAGAAAAAAAAAGGAGAAAGAAGAAGAAGAAAAAGAGAGAAAATAAGAAAAAGGACGAATAAAAGTTTATAAGCTGCGGTAAAAAGGAAAACTTTCGAGAACGACAAGAATTTTCAACTTTCTTCGCAACGCGATAATATTTAACGATAATACCGTGATAAGCGAGAAAAAGAGCAACTTAATCGTAGAATGTCATCGAGCTTTAATTTCATTTCTATTAGAATTTAAAATAAGAAAAAAAAAAAAAAAAAGAAAAGAAAAATAAAGAAACGTTATTTCTTTTGAACTCTTTTTTCTATCTTTATCCTTCTTTCGATATAAAAATTGAACGATATAGAAAGATAGAAAACAATTGTGTTCGGTCGAGATTAAGGTCGAAGAAATAAATGAAAAATAGAATCATGAAAGATTTCAATTTCCATACTTGAAATATCATAACGCAAGAAAAGTCTATCGAATAAACGGACGGAAAAGGAAAGATCAGGTTCAGGGCAATCGTTCTTTCTTTTTCGTTGATTTAATATACAATCGGTCCGGTGAATTATTCATAAGGTGTGAAGTACAAAGTAGATAATGCTAGTAGTATACTGAATAGCATCGAAATTGAGAATTTCTCGGCTCGGTATTTTCACGAACGAGCTCTGTCAAATTTCAACAAAGATAATATAATATTCTTAATACGTTTCGTTCCGTTAAATAATATGTAGAATTTCATAAATATACTAGCAAGTATAATATGTGTAATACGTGCCGATAATTATGATAATGGCCTAAGTCTCGGAAAATTATATAAATTAATTTAGATGATTTATTTTGTAATATACATAATTTTCATATCAAATAAATCATAAAATTCATTTTAACAATTTTTTTGTTTTGTTACTTACGATTAATCTACCGTCACAATTACCTGCACATAATTTACACGAATGTTTTAATTCGCAGGATGTGTTATTATTTATTATCTATAATTACAATGGTTGCAATCTGTTTTATTGAAATGTGTATCATTGGATAAGCGACCAAGATTTGAAGATAACGAACAAGACGCATTAGACCTTTTTATTCGCATAAAGTTCGTGACATTTAAACCTTAAAATAATAATGGTTCATAACGTTGCGATAACATTGATCACAGCTTACTAAAAATAAAATTAAAAAGAAAACGAACGGGAAAATATTATTATTATTAATAGGAAGAGAGAGAAAGAGATATTTGCATTCTTAGATATTCTTTTAAACTTTTCAACTCCTACATTTATTTAAATGGCTTTGTAATCTACGACGAACGGTAACTCGTGATTTTGCGTTGAAATATTAAACTTGATATATAGACAAAAAGAAAAAAAAAAGAAATAAAAAAACGAACAAGACAAAGACTACAATCATAAAATGCAATTTGGAGAGAACAAGAGAGACGTTAACGAATACATTTCGTCAAAATCGACAAAAATATTCTATACGATATTAAAATTAAAATATAAAAACGATATGATAAAAGGTGTCGGGAACACAATGGAATTGGAAAAAATTTTTTTAATAAAAACGTATTGTAAAAGAGATCAAAAAAATGAGAGAAATAGAGATAACGAGATATGGGGTGGATTATCCGCTGGCAATTAACGAAAGGACCAATTAGCTCCAAAGCAAATATCGATTAGAATGGTCTTCCACAAGAACCATACATACCATTAATCGTTGGAAGTATATAAAAGTTCTGAAACCATTTCTTTAACGTTACTTTCACGATTATCATTATAGATTAAAAAACAAAAAGAAAAAAATGATATCTGAATGAAGTCTTTAATTAACTATCTATAATATCACCTGCACACACAGAGAATTCTTTTGATCAGAGGGCTTTCATACATCGAACCGAATCTTTTTCCATTGGATTATCGAAGAAATTGATGAACTAATAATAGTAACGAAGTTAGAGTAATTATAGTCTTCTCTCTTCGTCTTCTTCATCTTACTTACTTAAAGACCTCGTCGGTCCATTATTATTGTAAATAATATCGCTAGTCCAAAGAAGAGGTTCCCTATCGATCGAGTTAAACAATGTAATCAGAGCCAATGATGGAACGATGGTAATTAACAAACAAGTGCCATTCAGTTGACGACGATGAGATATTTGATTCCTTAAAGATGAGCTATCATTACGGTTAAATTACGATTAGAAATATGCGAGTTTTATCTCATTTCTAAAAATAAGATTAACGGATTATTTGTATTTTTATATTAGAATTTTTCTTCGATATGTTACGAAACAGGGAAAGTGTGAAGAGCGGACATCATTGCTGTCCTTGTCAAGCACCACCGCCACCAGTTTTGGTGACAACATCACCGAGTGCACGGATAATACGGCAAAGTTCTCAACCCGAGGCGTCGGCCTGCTGTTGTTCCGGATGTTGTTGCAACTTGCACGCTGGAATCGCACCAAGTGCTGCCTCTCTACGGCAACTACGCGAGCCCGGGGATGGAATAGCCGGCATAGCTGCGGATTCTTTGAGAATCAATGGCGGAATACGACAATTCCGGCAGGTAAGCGCCAATAATTATTCTGCATTTTGCCAATTGCCACTTTATATTTTATATCACCAACCACTATTCTCACCACCGTCACTAATCCACCATCGATAACCACCGATCACCATCATCACCAACATTTCGATCAATTACGAAAACGCGTTATCGTATTTATTTTATTTTCTAACGACACAATATAAGGATTCATCATTTATCTTACCCCACATAATCATCATCGTAATCATCATCATCATCATCAACATCATCATCATTATCAACATTATCATTATCATCATAATTGTAATCTTCTTGTGTAAAATATTAATCATTATTATTACTCTTGATGTCGTCGTTGTCTTATTCTCTTCGTAATGGTCATTGTCGATGTGTTGTTGTTACTTTTTTCTCAATGTATTGCTCGATATATTCGTTTGGAAAATCGATCTTGATCCAAGAAACGAGCATCGAGAGTTAGAACTCTCTTTTTCCTCTCTTTTATGTCTCCCATCTGTGTTCATTATCCTTATCTGTAATCGACATAACGAATTCCTACAATTTCAACCCCCTTTTCTCTATGTGTGTGTTCAAATATTTCGTGTTTATTGTCTCTCTTGTCTTCTTAACTAACATCTAATACATTTCATCACGATTACCTAAATGCCTATAAATTTAGGAATGAAAAAACAAATATTTTACATAACTATTTAAGAAGGGAATATAAAGGGGGTGAAATAAATCAAAAGAGGAAGGACTCTACATCGGTTTCGTACGTTTACCGACTAAGGAAATATTCTTCTTCTATATCCAACGTGGTATTAAAACTACCCTTAGCTACGAAATCGTTCCCTTATCCCGTTAGTTTTTTTTATAACGCGCCATCTACCAAAGGGTAGTAGAGTTAGGAAGGAAAAAGTAAAAACGAAAAAATAGGAAGTGATCGTACCGACCGAGACGTTTTCGAATCGTTAGAAATTCGAGATACGCGGAGCGACTATAATTAAATATTTTTTTGTCAAACTTTTTTTCCCATTTTAAATAATTAACAAAATTAATTCATAAATTAAATTTCACTCGACGTAAGCGTTGTATAAGTTAATCTCGCTAAGTAGATGGCACCATGTGTGTGTTTTTATCGAAGTCCAAACATAGATATTTCAGACGAAATTTCTTCTTCCTTCTCGTATTAGCTCAACGTAGAAAAGAAAGGAAACACTTTTAGACGAGAGTGAAATAGTAACACGAATAATCGTACAAGTAGTAGAAACGTACGAATGCACGTACACCGATCATAAGCTTACGATAATTGCGTTCACGTAGGTACGTTCTAATTTCTACTCTCTTTTCTGTAAAACATCGATCACCCTTAACGAACTTAAAAAGAAAAAGAGAACAAGGAAATGACAATTAGGACAATTGTTAACAAAAATATATCTACTTTGTGCAAAAATATATACTTAATTTAATTATTTAATATTGTCAATTTTTTTTTTTCTTTCACAGTCATTGTCAAATATCGAAAACTCAAATTAAACGAGTAGAATAATAGAATAGAATAGAATAGAATAGAAAAGAAATTCAAAAGAAACAATAGGAGGAATAATAAACTGGAAAAAAGAAGGGATGAAGAGATTCTTGCTATATTGTTAGTTTAATTATCTTTTCTCGACGTGTTGAGGCCACCTCGGCGGTATCGTAACTGGAATAAGAGTGGAACGAAAAATAGGAGAAGGAGGAAAAAGGAAAGAGACAGAGAGGGGGAGGAAAAGAGCATCCTGTCGTTTGGCTGACTGCCAACGAACTATAATCAAGCTTCACTCTCCGCATCCTCCTCATCCTTCTCCTCTTCCTCCTCCTCCTCTTCCACCATACCCCTCTTCAACCCTTATCCTCGAGTATGTCATGCATAGAATAGAGATTCGTGCTAAAACGTATCGGGCTGTCTCTGCCCCTCGGTCCACCCCATTTCCCGTACCCCTTCCCTCCTTTCTCCCCCCCACCACCACTTAACCCACCTTCTCTGTCACTCGCTCGCTGGGTTTTCAACAATTTTCCACTTACTTTATTTTTTTAATGTTTATTTTATTTAATTTTATTTTGTTTTATTTATTGTTTTATTTATTGTTTTATTTTTAATTTTTATTTTCGTAAAAAGCAACGCGCCACCGTGATTTCCAAAAATTCGACGGTGAAAAAAAGAAAAGAATAAAAATAAAAAGTAGAAGCCCTAAAAAATGCTAGAAATTAATTTCATTTGAACCACAATGGGTCCCGTTTTATTATACAATATATTATATATCGCACGTTACCTCTCTACGATACGAAATAAAATTCTTTTCGTGCGATCTCATTTTTTGCCAATACGCTTTTTTCTTCTCTTTTTTATAGATTTTTTTTTGTTTTAATTAGCAGCGAACGATTTAATTTGTGCGCGAAGATTAGATTAAAAAGATATATATTTTTATATTAGTAGTGCAGTCAGGGTGTTGTTGCGATGTTATATATTCGATCGATAAAATTTTATTATTTGATTTAATACTTACGAGAGATTGAAAATAACAACCGAAAAGAATTAATTATTAGAAATCGATTTAAATTAAAGGACTCGTTAAAAAAGTGGTTATACGTTGTACATAATAATTGTTAATTATTTCCCATTATTTATTCAAGCAAATCGAAATACGTTATTCGAATTATTACCTTTACCTTTCAATGATGTTCATAATAATACATTTGTGAACAGACAAACAAAAATGCAATATTAATTCTTCATTCGTTATTTCAATTAAAGATAGATAAACTAAATAATTTCATTATACAATATAGTATTATATTCGAAAAAGGGAGTAATAAGTTATTGTTAATTATCATATAATATACGTTTCGAGCGTAATCGTTAATTGTTCGTTGAATTTTAAATATTTTACTTTTAACCATTTCTGCGATGTTACCTGAATTAATACGAATAAATTTTCCAAAAATGATTACTTCCTCGTCGAAAAAAGACAAAAAAAGAAATACTTTCGATATTCGATAAAATGAAAAAAAAAAAAAAATAAAGAAAAGAAAAAGAACGGGAAAGAAAATGAAAAATTACGAAAAGAGAAAAATAATTAAGGACAGAGCGAAATAATCTCCGAGAGTTAGGAGAGCTTAATGAACGGAAAAGAAAATTGCTGGGAAATGTTTCAGAATACTTTCTGAGAAAAAAGTACTGACTGGCTGGTTGGCTGTCTGGCTGGCTACCTACCGGCACTAACTATTACTGACACTGCTACTACTACTACTATTACTACTACCACTCTTCATAGTAATTCCAATCAATTATCACGACTCCGTCGGTGCTGCGTAATCCCAGAACGAGATAATCGTTGGATTATGCAAGACCGTGCACTTTCTCCAAGACTTCTCTCATTTCTTTTTTTTCTTATATTTTCATTTCTTACCTTTTCTTTTCTCTTTCCACTTATTTCTTTTCTTTTTTTTCTTTTTTCTCTCTTCGAGTATGATAATAACTAATTTTCTCGTCTGCTTATTGTTGAATCTACTTGAATATCTTTCATTTTCTACATTTTATATTTTTGTGTTTCTTTTTCACTCATTTCTCACTCCAACGACTATAATTATTATTAATTAACTTTATTAGCCACTCGAATAATTTTATTTAATGATAAAGAAGACATTGAAAATTTTATGCTTAAAAAATCATCTATCCATAAAATATGAGTTCACATTTCGATTTTTATGATTGCAATATGATGAAGATGAATCTATATTTAATAATAATTAACTTCTCTCCTCTACCCTCCTCCATTAACCATTCAAATAATTTCATTGAATGATGAAGAAGGTGTTGAAAATGTTATACTTGAAAAATCATCTATTCATAAAATATAAGGATCATTTTGAATAGGATTGGGATGAATCATCGTGGACTGTTAGTACTCATATCTCACTCGATGATATCTAATGCGAATGCGAATGCATTTCGCGTATCTTCATCGGTGCAATTTATCACGCGTTTTAAGCTCTTTGTCAACTAAAAATTGTATACATATAGTTATATATCTATATTTATATATATTATATATATGTATAAAATATATCGATTTCCACTATTTTCGTTACATAACATTTTTACTCGGACTAGTGAACAGTAGAGATGTTTCGTTGCTATCCAACGAAATAAACACATTTCGATATGGAACGAAAAAGATACGTTATTCCGACACGTTGAATATATAAAAGGTATTTCACCTGGATCTCTACCTTTTCTTCTTTCTTTTAGAATCTCTCACAAGATTCTACCATCATTTTTTATTCGATACTAACATATACTATAGTTTATCTCGAAGTTTATATATATATATACGATAAATAAAAATAAAACTTATCTGAAGTACATTCATTAGAATAAAACTTGTGCATATAGTTGTTCTTTCTTTTAATAAGTAATTATGTAAAAAGAAAAAATGTAAATTAAAGTTAACGCTAATGTAAGTTATTCTTCTCTCCTTGTTTCTTTTCTATTTTTGCTTCTATCTATTTTCCTTTTCTATCTTGGATTTGATCGTATGCGAATCGTAAAGAGCTTTCGTCGAGATCCAACGGTGGGGTTCTGTTCCAGAATAAGCCAAGGAGCTTTTCCACAGCACGATTTCGCTCGGCTATCGTTCTCGAGAATAGAAGAAAAGCTCGAAATTACTTTTTCTATTCTTTGCCGAATCACTCTCGAATTTAGTGGCTATTAACGTCCTATGGAACGTCGCTCCGCGTTCGCAAATCTCTTTCTCTCTATTTATCTCTATCCATCTCTATCACTTTTTCTAGTTCTCTATTTTCATCATCATTTAATTATAACGACAACTTTGCACCTATCGGAAGGTGAAATAACTTTTCGATTTACTCCAATTTTCTTTAACACATATTAAACAGAATGAATAGAATTTTTTTAGTTTTTGCTTTTTGTATTTACAATCTAATTGTAAGAAGACGTTTTAAATGATCGTCAAATTGTTGGATTTGATTAATTTAATTGTTCAGTTGTTTTTCGCTTTGTTATCCGACCATTAGCAATTACCGAGTGTCTTTATTTTGTTCTCATCTTTTTCAATTGGACGACCTAAACGTGATAACATTTTTCAAATCAAAATTTCGAAAATTAATTCTCTACCTAGCGTTCACACTTAATATATCCTTTCCGGATATATAATTTTGTTCTCATTTGCATTGCATTAATAAATTTACGGTAATAAAAAAGCAAAATATGAGGAGAATGATGACTTCGATTTACAAAAAAAAAAAATACAAAATATTCAAGTTATTCGAATTAAAATTAAATCAACGTATACTATACGTTAAGTAATCTAACACAAGTATAATCTTTAAAACAAATAGAACAAATAATAGGCAAAAAAAAAGAAAAATAAATACAAAGTTCATTAACCAAATTTTTCCACGAAAAAGCTGCTCCGTGAAAATAAATAGGTTTTACGAATGAAGCGCGAAGAAAACTTATATTACTTTTCCCCTACATTACTTCGAAAGTAAAAAAGGGTTTCTAAAAGATCGATCGATTAATCGAGAGAAAGAGAGAATAAAAAAAGAAAAAAAGAAAAAACAAAAAAAAAAGAAAAGAAAAGAAAAGAAAAGAAAATAAAGTACAAAATGCTTTCACGTTAACTTTTACGACAGACTCTTCGTCTACCATCTTACGCTATCTTTTTTATTTTATTTTCTTTCTTATATTTTTTTTAAATTAAATTGAACGGCTATCCAAGATTCTTTGAAAATCGGTCGATCGAAAAGAACCGTAGCGCGTTCGTTGATTCATAATTAAGCTAATAGTATCAGAATATCCCCCATTCACGTTAGAACTCATTTCTTAAACTCGTTTCGTCGAATTCTCAAAAGCTGAATTCGCGATAATAGTGAGTTTAGAATTCGTTTAAACGTTCTTCTTCCTTGTTAGTTTCCTATCGCCTATAGAATCATCTATCTATTTATCTATTTATCTATCCATCTATCTATCTATATATCTATCCCTTTCTCACTTGCTTAGATCTTCTTTATCTTCTAACAATCCATAGTAGTCTAAATCTCCAAAAAGAAAATAGAAACAAAAAAAGCATAATCAAATTCGAAGACATCCAAGTATAGTAATTGATTTTTTCTATCGACGAAATATCGCTTCTTTCATTGAAGTCAGTCGATCACTCTCCCTCTCACCCCTTCTTCTCTCTCACACTCTCTCTCTCTCTCTCTTTCTCTCTCTCTATCTATCACTCACTAATTAAAATTCCTCTTATTTAATTTTTCTTTTCTTTTCCTTTTTTTCTTTTACAAATAAGCAAGATTTTAATTATAGCAAAAATATTTATTATAGTTTAGTAGTAACGTCCAAAGTAGAAATCTAATTAGTTTAGATAACGAAACGTTTAAATCACGATCAGAGAGAATTTTCAAAGAGTTCAACAAGGAAACGAAAATTTAATGTTTAACAATAAGCATTAGAGAATTTGAGAGAAATAAAATGAGACAAATGTGAGCTTTTTTAATTTCCTGTTTTATGGGTTTAAAAATCACTTCTATACGAACATCTTCTCACAGCTATTCAATACTACTAAAAAGGTCGTGTCATGTTACCGCCTAAGTTACCCTCTGGAGTCAACAGCACAGGATTTGTGTTTTACCAAACGGGTCACCTATCCATATTAATAACCGTGCCCTCGTAACTTGACTTTAATGATCTGACGGGAACTAATAATCCAACGTGGATAGGTCGTTGCTTAATTGTAAAATAAAACAAAATATTTTCTCTCTTTCTCTTGCTTAAAACATTAGATTTTTCTTTTCTATCTTACCCATTGTCAATCCATTCTTCGTCAGTCTGATCTATCTGCACCTGTTTGCACTCTCGTCTCTCTCTCTCTCTCTCTCTCTCTCTCTCTCTCTCTCTCTCTCTATCTCTCTCTTTCTCCATTTCACACGTTTCACACCATAAATATGCATATCTCTTTCTCTCTTTCTCTCTCGCTCTTTCTCTCTATCTTACACACACACACACACATACACTCTCGTTCTTTACTTATACCAATATAACAACGTGTTAAAAACACGCCCAGTTTCCTTGGTGGTGCAAATTGTCATCGGCATCGATGGCGACAACGCCTCCACCGCCAACAGCTACGATGCCCGCTTCCGGTTCTGGTTCCGGTACTCAGGGCGTCGTACTCTGTCCACGTACGCTGTCTCAGGTTCGACGATCACGACTACGCAGAGCCCTCACCGAGGCTACCGCAGAGACCGTCAGCTACGTCAAGACGGTGGGGAAGATTTTATTTTGATTAGCCAAATTTACACGTACATATTATACGCTTTAATATACACACACATTACACACACACACACACACGTATAATATATACTTTATGTATATATTGTGTATATATATATATATAATATATTATTTTTGGCGTTAAATATTACATGCGTTTTGTGAATAATGTGGATGCACGATCTGCTTCAACGGAAATTAGAGGTGTATTAAACGTTCGAGACCGAAATATTTTGAAAGCAGGGTGTTTTTATTTAATACATTTAATATATACGAGATGTGTTCAAAAATAATTCTCGAAGTATATATTATGAATAACTTTTTCAAAAGTATTTTTCATCGAACGCGCTGTATTATTAGATCCCGTGTAATCCCTCTTTTATGGGACACCTCGTAAAATTAAAATTGGTAGGATATTAACCGCCTAGGATCAATGTATCATTGCACGGATTATATCTTAATCGCTTGGAAACAATAAATTGATATATACAATATATATCTAATAATTATTAGAACGTAATTTATCGCCTGTTGTTCAAATTGAACAGTTTATGTTCTCGATAGATAATGAAATAAAGCTAATGAATAATATCAATAGCGATAAGGTATCTCCTATGTGTGTTTCTATCTTTTTCTAATCACCCTGTTTTTCAATATCCACGGTTTTTAGCGTCGTAATATACCCCACAGCACTTAATCGTGCATACCGAGACACGCTCTCTCGTCAACGTAGCTATCGCAACTAGCTTATAGAACACGCCTCTCACCAACACCACTGCTGCATCTACACCACCACCACCACCACCATTAATACTACCACACCATGACATGATCTTATTATCGTTAGGTCCTACCAACCCTGACCTGCATTCTCCAATGATATCCGATGTACATATGTATATATTGTATATACATATATATATAATAATAATAATACCCGCAAATATACGTGCATACGATACGTCGATAAATTTATCCAAGAAAAATCTGTCTGTGCGATACAAATGCATTCTGCAGAATGCCTAATTTCGTACTTTACCGGTAACACATAGATTTTTCCAATTATTTTCTACGAAACTTTAATAATTAATTTAATATTAAGACTCTTTTATAGAATGTAGATATGTATTTTGTATTTCTTCCTCTTTTACACGTAATTAGTGTCGTTAGAAACTATTAGAAACATCATTTACGATCGATACGGTTCGATGAACGCGGCTAAGTATATACGAAAGTTTCTACTGAAGTTAGTGAATATTGACTAATATCAAGCAGAAACTATGCGTCCCTGGAGCAAAACTCCATCGGACAAAGATCAAACGGTTTGTCATGGCAAATAATAATACACGTTTCATCAAAATCTTTAAACGTTTACAATCACTTTTTCAAATTGTTCTAGCTTGTCAGTTTAAAAATGATTTAGGTGTTACGACAATTAAAAATTGTTCTACGGTAAAATGTACGTTTACAGGGTGTTCAAAAAATAATCTCCCCTTAGGACTCAATTTTTTTCACGTTTATTTCCAGATTATCTCAGAAGGTAAGCCAAACAAATTTTTAACTAGACTTCAAATTTATGTTCAATACAATTCGTGTATTTGAAATAATCCCAAAATAAATCATTTAACATACGAGACGATTCATTTTAAGAACATTCTATAAATTCGAACGCGAAAATTACATAAAATTAATTAACACCCCCGTCAAGACGAATAATATCCGTTAATACTTTCGCGAAAGAAAATTAATGTACGCGAACGAACGGTAATTAAAAAAGAAACAAAAACAATAATAAAATGAAAAAAAAAAGCTGAAGAAGAAGAAGAAGAAGAAGTTGATTTAGGTTTTTATTTGTAACTTCGTTCTAGCTCAGAAGACGATGCTTCATGCTACAGGTAAACGTATATACGATAGCAAATTTAATCCCCCCACCCTCTTGCAAGTAGTATATCAGGGCACGTGTTTGATCTCCCTTAGAGAGAGTACTCTCAATCACTCCCTACCACCTCACACACCCCCTCTAACCTTGTACTTTTCGATAGATACTTGGAAAAAGAAAATGAACGCACCTGTAGTTGAGAGTCCACGTGCACGAAGTTACCGTCACAGAGCACGATTTTCCAATATCACACGTACTATCAACACGTGAGAGAGTAGCCATCACACTTAGAGACACACATACGCACACTGACATAGGTGTATACGAATGAGAAAATACGTCCATGAGTATGGACGTGCGAAATCTCGACTTTAATACCGTTTCTATATCGGAAAATCGATATTAAATATCGAACGTCACCATTGGACTGGTCTTTCCTTCTGTCTTTTTTCTTTTTTTCTTTTTTTCTTTTTATTTATTTTTTTTTACTATTCTATCAGTGTAACTTTCCACGATGAAAGACGTAAACGAAAAATAACGGGAGAAGAGAAACTCGATGTCTGTAAACTTTGAATTATTCCAAATCAAATGGTAGCATAAAAGTTATTGCGAATCGTGCGATATAAAATATTTGTCTCGTTAAAAAGAAGAAAAATATCTATAAAAGAGAAAAAAAAATAAGCGTAAAATAAAATTTTTAAGTGTACAACTCGTATTCGTTGGTAGTAAGGTTTCTAACAACAAAGTCTCGTAGTTGTGAAAACTCGAATGATAGAAGGACGACTTCGTGTCGAGGATGCCAGTTGAGAAGAGGATGTTTGAAACAAGACAACGAGAGAACTAGGACGAGATTAGATAGCTAGCTAAGATTAATTGCATGATATTATTGTCTTTGAACAATGGCTTTGAGAATTTCAAGTATTTTGAGAGGAAATGATATAAGAGTAAGAGTAAGAGAGAGAGAAAGAAAGCGAGAGGAATAGAGATACATTTTCGGTCGAATGTCAGAACTATTGTGTTTAGAAGTGTCCGAGTTATGATGATAGTTATTCTCTAACTCACTTTACGAAAGAAAACAAAACGAATAAAAAAGAATAATAAGAAGAAGGAACGTCATTAGTCATATTTTTAGTTATCCTTTTGAATGTGTATCATGAAGTATGAAGAAAAGGAGGATCGGAGTATAGAAGTGAAATAATAAATAAAAACAAAGGAAGGAAAAAACAAAACAAGTAAAAAGATTCACCTTGGTGAATCAAGGTATAGAAGGGTTAAGATTAGAAATAAGAATGTTGCCTAGCGAGAACGAGATTGATGTACATAGGAAACGTCTAACCAATGAAGAGACAGAACTAAAGATGAACTCTGAGAGTTGGGGGATGTGCATTGTTGCATTGACTCGTTGACGAAAGAAAAAGAGAAAGGTGGAAGGTTGAAGAAACATATGTATGTATAGAACATTGACGGTGACCTCACTCGTTCCACGTTTCTTTATTTGGCAGCATCGTGGGTGGTGACACAGAAAAATCTAACCAAGACTACAACTACCACTATTACTATTACTAATACTACTGCTATTGCTATTGTTGTTGTTGCTCCTATTGCTTTCGTTCGTTCGTTTGTTCCTTCCCTTTTCTTTTCTTTTTTGTCTTTCCATCTTTCCTTTCTCTCTTACGTCTTTTGGCTTCGAACCATCTTCTTTCTTCATTTTTTCCTCGTAAACCCTGTACGTTTTTATCCTACGTTTATCATCTCGAGAACGATGTCGAGAGATTTGTGTGTGGCAAGGTTTTATCGGGCTATCCTATATGAATATACAAAAACGTATTGAGAATAAAGAGAACAACGACTACTGACTTACGATCGGGGACAATGGGAACGCGTCGAATTAACACACTTTTCTTATTTTTTAAATCTACACATATCCCTATTTCTCTAATTCCTTATTAATTTTCAAAATGTTAGTAGTAAAATAAATGACAAAATAAAGAATTATTTTCACCTAGAATATTGTTTCGATTATTAACGTGACAAAATGACGATTTCTTTATACGATCAATCAAACGAGATGAAACGAATATTCAGGAATTGTCAGAACGTGAAAAAAGGAAACAACTAATATTATTTACCATAGAAAAAGACGAATTAAAATTGTCAATCAAATATGTATTCGAAACCTACAAAGAAACGACAGTTTTATTTTTCCTGATACACGGGAAACAACACATTTTGATCGACATAATGGAAAATGACAATCACACGTGCGATACTCTTCGTTTTTATTACAATCCATCGATTTTTAAAAAAAACGTTCGATAATTTGTTTTCATTTTTTTTTATAAAAATAGGAAACAGTAAATAGGAAAAAAATTGGATAAAATGTATCATTGTCTGTTACTTCCGTCCTTCTAGGAAAGTCTTTCAACATTCGTCTCGGTCAAGCTGCTTATTCTACTGGTGGTACAAAAAACGAAATGGTTTCTATACCGCAGAAAAGTAAACGTTTCCGATAACATAAGTACGGACACGTGAAGTAAATCGGTCTATCCATCCAGCTTTTCAAGATGTCCGAATATACGTTTTGAAAATCGTTGTTCCGTGGTAGCCGTGAACAGGATAAAAGATGGATCCCAATTTCTAAAAGTATCAACGACGTGCATATCATTTTTATTATATCTGCTGCATATTTATTTTCTATCATAAGCTTGCAATATATTATATTATACATGCAATAATATTTTATATTTTTTTTACTTTTTATCCCTTTTCGATTTATCATTTTTTTTTTCTCTTTCTTTAAATTCATTTTTAAAGAATTTTATCAACGTATAAAAAAGAATCGTTTTTAATATCCTATCTAACGAGCTGATACGAACGTACACGACCGAAATGATTCATTGAATCGAAAGAGAAACTTATTGGAGATTATGTAACGCAATGCGACTTGGCATAGAAAGACGTTCACTCTCGGTTGCTACGTAAGTAAGAAACGTAATCAAAATCATATTCTGTAGATGGCAGACGTTGCCTCGGCTAAACGTCTGTCAATTAATTTAACGGTGAATTCAAGCAAAGTTGTTACTTTGCTCGTGACAAGACATCTATTTAGATATTTCTATATATATAATATATTATATATGTACATAGCGAATTATCGAAGAAGATAAAGTATATTTAATCATATGATTCAGAATCTTTCATTATTCATAGTTGATTTATAAATAATGAAGGTTTATTACAATAAAACTGTACTTATCCGTTAATTCGCCACCCCGATGATTAAAATTTATTTTTCTCTCTCTGTTAAAGTATTTTACATTGACTGATGATCAGTATCCAAAAATATATTTTCTTCTAATAAATTTATTGTAATAAATTTGTATAAATAAATAAGTAAATCTCTTTTTATGGATTCAATCCACCTCGTGTTAGTCTCAAAACTTTTCAACCCGTCGTCGCTTATTATGCTCTCCTCCTTGTCAGTCCACTGTCATAATTAATTAATACATTGATGAAAAAACTATTGAAAAAATTATGTAAAAAAAATATATAAAATGGGGGATTACAAGGGTAAGACATAAAATGGATAAGTAATGAATCTACACATCTCGTTTGCAACTTGGTTTAAATCTGTCCTGCTTTTGCTAAATTCGTGAACGAGATTCTAGAACAAGGATAGGAATATACAATATATAAAGCCTACGATGATGTTTACGAACGAAACATGACAAGCACTATGTTATCGCGAAAGCGTTGGATTAGAAAATATAAAGGCGACGCATATAGCCGTGCAACAGGGTAGATCGTACGATGAAGATAGACGTATGCACGACAAGCGAATAGAACAAGAGAATCTACTTCGTCACACGATTGATAATTATCATAAACATAGACGTATGTTTGCTGATCGTTCGGTATCGTATCTCATGGTTGACATTAACGAGCATCGATACATCGCCTAATCGAAACATTCTCTATACGGTTTATCTTTGCTCGCACGAGAGAGAGACCATAGTTCAAAAAGTTAAATTATTTCTAAAATAATTAATTACATATTATTTTGCCTTTTTTTTTGATGCTATTCGTTCCCTGTTCAAACATTAAAATTATCAAAACTAATGGAAATGAATTGATTAACGCGTGCCATATTTAAGTAAAGTAAGGATCAATTTATTTTCTTTTTTTTTTAAGTATAAATATGTGTAATATTTTTGTCTAAATTATACTTTGTCTTTTATCGAATTGACATTGAATAAAAATTAGAATAAGAAAAATATAAGTAAAAAAAAACAATCATTTCGAGTGATCCGATAAAAATACTTGAATTTTACGAGTGTAAATCATGAGTTTTCTAGATTCTCTCATCGAAATCTCATCAAGTATAGAGAAAAAAAAGAAAGAAAGAAAGAAAGAAAAGAAAGAAAGGGGGAAAAAAGAGAAAGCGAGAAAAACCACAAACCGCTTTGGAAGGATGTACTTTATGAAATAAGTTACTTCCTCAAGTTCTTCAATTAAAAAACTTTTCACATTCGAAAGCGCGAACGATAGAAATCCGCGGAATCGTTCAACGACGCCCGTTTCCTTCTCTGCTGCTGCGATAAAAGGCAAAAGGGATTTTCGAAAGAACCGATATCAAAAGGAATAAATGTTAGACGAAGAGAAGAGAAATGAAAGATGGAGAAGGAAAAAGAAAAAATATTCTCTTATAAAAAAAAAAAGATCAAAAACAAGTCTTAGAACGAGTATAGTAAACGTCCAACTGTTTCTGTTGCATTTCTACAAACGATGCGCAGTCTATCTTTCTCTTACACATACATATATATATATATATATATATAAACCACTGGTATATCGACTTGTTATCGATCCAAGTTAAAAGTGCAAGAAAGAAGTAAAGAAAGATAAAAGTCAACAATAGATATCCGAAACAACACATTAAAGAAAGAAAATAATTTGTTCCTAGGTAGCCAAGTTCTGAATGACCGTCTACTTTTACAACTACTACAACTACTATTACTATTTATAACTATCACTATTATTACTATTACAACTACTACTACTATTTGCAGCTATCACTACTACTACTACTACTACTACTACCAAACTAATACTATTACTACAATAAGCACTACTTCTATTTCCTCTTCTTCTAGCTACTTTTTAGATTCCGGAAGTCCTCGGTCTTCTAAGTTTCTCTTTCTTCGATATTACGACTGTCAAAGGAAGAACTTTGGATTTCTACGAAATGAACCTCGTAATGCACTAGTTCTAGCTAGATGGTTCATGGCAACGTATACATACTTTGACATAGGAAGCTTTTGCCAACTTCAAACGCAAAGCAAAATATAGAAGGTATAAGAAAGAGAGAGTGGGAGGAGGGAGAAGAGAGAGGAGAGAATGCTAACCTCGTACAAAACTTACTACTCCGTTCTTCTATAAGCTTTTCCATTTTCATTCCTACTTTCCTTCTTTCCTTCTTACCGCATTTTCTTTCTTCTATTGCGTGCAAAGAGGGTGTTATAACCGAATGATGAAAAAAAAAGAAAAAAAAAAATAGGAAAAAGGGAAAAGTATTATAAATATCAAAATAAAGTTCTGGGTTGTTAGTGAACGACGAGCGAGAAAGAGATAGATACTTTCTTCCCTCTTGTCGTTTTCTCCCATAATGCGAACATTTATTTTTTTCTTTGTTGCCAACAAAAGTATACAGGAAGCTTCTTTCTATCGCCATAACGTAGTCGTAAAGCTTGCTTTTGTGTCGTAAATGTCGCTAGTATATAACATTTTGTTAGCTATCTCTCTCTCTCTTTTTTTCTGTTTTATTTTATTTGTTTTTGTTGGTTTCTCTTTCTTCCTTTCAAGCTTCGCGGAAAGCTATCTTATGAATATTTTTAACGAATTCCAAAATTATGAAAATTTCATGAGTCCTAAACATAGAAATTAATGATATATCAGTGTTTTAACGTGTATTTCGAAGTTTCGTTGTTAAATATCAAAGATACGATAATAAATGAATCGTTTGAAAATATAATATTATTTTATCTTTGTTTTATTTGTTATTTAAATAAAGTTTTTGAGTGGCGATGAATTTGATTTGTATTTTGAAATCCTACAAATATTTCTAAATTAATATCGAGTATTTAAAGACTTCATATACACGCATGGATAGAAATTTTGTTGGAGAACTATCGAATTGGCTTGATAATTTTATTTACATTAAATTTATCGCAATCCATTTTATCATAAAAGTGAAGTTTTCTAGCAAACAAATGGGAATCTGAACTTTGTAAATCGCATTGCGTGCATCGCGAACGTGAAATCTGTTAGAAAGTGAATAAAATTACAATAAGTACTACAAGAACGCGAGCGTTAATTTTTATCTTTAACAAAATGATTCATAACATTATAATAATAATAATAATAACAATAATTATTAATAATATATCAAAAATATATGAAAAAAAAAAACAAGTATATCAAATTTAAAACAATAACAAGAAAATAAATGAAAAGAATAGTTTCTTATCTATAAACAAAAAATTCGACAATGTTAAAGATTAAAATGCATTACGAAAAATACACGATCTATATCAATATCTTCATTTTATATTTAAGTTAAAAAAATTGGTAATGAAAGAAAGAGAAATTGGAAAAATATTTAAAAAATAATCCGCAGGTATTTAATGGTCAGGCTATGTCTCGCATATAAATTTTTCAAAGCGGTGATAAAAGCCAGCTATCCACTCGTATCACGTTTCTCTTTCTCTCTTTCTCTCTCTCCCTCTCTCTTTCCCTCCCTTCTCCTACCTTTTGTGATACTCACGAACGATCCGGAATCCGGTTATACGTATATCCTTGAACGACACCGATATGCAGTCTCGCTCATGAATTATTGATAAAGATATTGAGTCGAAATCTACCGTTGTCCGTGGCAAAAT